CACACACACACACACAATAAGTGAAATGTGAATGATCATTAAGAAAACCATCTTTCCCTTTTATTTAGACAAAAAGGGAAAAATGTTGTAGGATACTCATTTTTGTTTTCTGGGGTTTTGTGTTTGTTTGTTTGTTTGTTTGTTTTTCAAGATAGGGTTTCTCTGTAGCTTTGGTGCCTGTCCAGGAACTCACTCTGTAGGCTAGTCTTGAACTCACAGAAATCCACTTTTCTCTGCCTCCCAAGTGCTGGGATTAAAGGCATGTGCCACCACTGCCTGGTGGGATAATCTTTTTGTACACTGTAAAGATGGATCTGTTTTATTTCATCTGCCTAAGGCACCTTCTGATTCATTTAATAAAGAGCTGAATGGCCAGTAACTAGATAAAAGAGGATAGGCGAGACTTCTAGGGAGAGAGAGGAACTCAAAGGAAGAATCTGAGAGGGGGGCGATTTGCCAGTAAGATGTGGAGGAAGGCAGATATACAGTATAGAAGAGAGATAGTGAACCACATGTAGAATGTAGATTAATAAAAATGGGTTAAGTTATAAGAGCGAGTTGAGAGTAAGCCTAAGCTAAGACCAAGCTTTCATTTTTAATAATAAGTTTCTGTGTCTTTATTTGGGGGTTGGCAGTTCAAAGAAAGTTCAGTAACACAGGACAGGAAGAAAGGGAGCGAGAGAAAGAGGAAGGAGGGGAGGAAGAGAGGGAGGGAGGAGAACACCCAGAATTGAGCTCTCGATTCCAGGAAACATCAGATTTTCAAGAAAGGGTGATGTGGGAGTGTCATATATCAATCTGTTGATTTCATTGGTTAATTAATAAAGAAACTGCTTGGCCTGATAGGTTAGAACATAGGTGGGTGGCGTAAACAAAACAGAATGCTGGGAAGAAGGGAAGTTAGGCAGACGGTATGCCTCTCCTCTCCAGGCACACGCCATAGCTCTCCTCTCCGAGATGGATGCAGGTTAAGAATATTCCTGGTAAGACACATACCACCTCGTGGTGCTACACTCATTAGAAATGGGTTAATCAAGATATAAGAGTTAGCCAGAAGAGGCTAGATATAATGGGCCAGGCAGTGTTTAAATGCATACAGTTTATGTGTTATTTCAGGGCATAAGCTAGCCAGGCGGCTGAGAGCTGGGTGGCAGGACCGCAGCCTGCAGCTCCTTCTACAAAAGGGAACAAAGCCAACCCCTTCCAAACTTGAGGTGGATAAAAGTACAATCAGATCCCATGATGAGATTTTACATTTAAAGAATAGAACAGTTTCTGAACACAGGCTCCAGCCCCAGGAACAAGTCTGTTGAATATTCAGTGTTATCTATAACTCCAGTTTGGAGCATGCTGTTAACCTGCCCCTCCGATGTGGCTGTCCACAGGCAAATGTAGCCACAAAAGCAGTTGACCTGACCGGTCAGAGTGAGCAAATCTGAAAACACTCCCATCGCTGTCCGAGGCTTGGACTTTGCCTCCAGAGGTTGCAGGGAGAAGAGAGAGGCACTTGCGGTGCCCAGTCTCATCCCTCTGAGAAGAGGCAACAGTGGTGCCCACCCCAGTCCTGGTGAACCATCTGTGAGGCTATAAAGGTCTTCAGGCCCTCAGAGGAAGAGAGGTGAGAATGTGTGGAAGACCTGATCTATGCCTGCCACTGTGAGATTTCCCACAGGTTCTGTAGTAACCCCTCACAATTCAGGAGGGTGTGTTGTCCTGGGGAGCAGAGTGGGCTGCAGCCTTCTCAAGAAGTGGACAGAAAGGATCATCCAGGCTGGGAAGCTCCAGGCAGAAGCAGGTGGCTGGAGCACAGCCTGTGTGTGGGTGGGGGGTGGACCACAGTCTTCATGGAACATGCTTTACAGAAGGGCAAGGCATCTGAGTGGGAACCCCAAAGCAAGTGCTGTCTCAGGAACAGGAGCCCCAAGGCCCAACAGACTCCACTCTGTCTCATAAACATCCCTGTGGCAACACCCTCCCTGGCCCATGGATGTCTGGGTTTTCTCTGTGATCTAGGAAAAGGAAGGCTTCATCAATTAAAAACGAAGACAAATTTTCCCCCTTCCCTTCACACCCATTAGAAGGGTTTAGATTAAGCAGGTTTTTCATAAGTCTGCAAAATTGACTTTTCTGCATAGATCGTTTGGGGCTGGTCAAAGTAGACAACTAGGAGGTTAAAATCACTTTTAGGGGGCCAGAGTTTAAAGTCGATGCGGCCAGCCTGGAGGCTGTAATATTCTCGTCTGCTGAAGGAACTGAGACACAATTAGGTGACCTCAGTCAAAAGGACAGTCTCCAGGCTGTTCAAAGAGAAACGCCATCCAAGGTAATGATGGCCCGCGTTTAGGCCTGGCTTTCATCTGCCTTCAGACTGCGTTAACCAGTAATTAGCCCGTCAGCCTCTGAGGTAGGTCAAAATTACTGCACCCATTTTACAGGTGAATAAAAGACTTCGGGGGGGGCACTGTTACTGGGGCCACACGTACATCAAGATCACAGTAGCAAAGGAAGCAAAGCCTCCTCCCCAACCCCCAGGACAGGGCCAGGCCTCTCCCTCTGTCTGCTCCTCTCTCAAGAAGTTAAGTAGAAGGTTCCTGTGTGGTACCATCCCTGAGGGCCAAAGGAACTGAGCCTTTCTAGGGGGAGGAGAAGAAGGGAGCAGGGAGAAGGAGGAGAGAAAGAGGGGAAGAGGGAAGGGGCAAGAAGAAAGGAGGGGGGAGAAGGAGGTGGTAAATAAAAGGTGAAAAGGTAGAGAGGAGGAAGGAAAGGGGGAGTGGAAAAGAGGTGGGGGGAGGAGAAATAAAGGGGAAGAGGAGTGGGAGAAGAGATGGAGGTGAGGAGGGAAGAGGAAGGAAGAGAATTAAGTCTACTGTCCTCCTGTTCCCATCCCCTTAGGGCTAACTCTGTCTTTTCACGTGCAACCCACAAGCCCACAGCCACTTGGGACTCTCAATTTCCCTCACACCGCATATCCAAGCCGTTCTTCGCATTTCTAATCCCGGAATCCCTCCAGAACCTCACTGTCCTCCGCCTCTGCCCACTGTGGGTCCACCCATCACTACCCCACTCCCACGCCCGTGAAAGCCTCAGCTCTGGCCCCTTTGCTCTCATGATCTAAACACAACAGGCCCCAGAGCGCTCCGGAGAGGGAATGCGCCACTCTGAGAGGACCCCCCCCCCCGGGGCTCCCCTAAACACTGCACACAAAGTCCTGGTGTCTCCAGAATTTTCTGCTCTGCTCTGACCCTCCCTGCACCCAGCCACCCCAGCCTTCATACTGCCGCCAGACCTCTAAAGGTAGGTATCAACCTAGGCATCCCTGGTCCTTCCTTCCCCTGAGCCTTTCCTTAGTCCCCTTTGCTGGCTGACATAGCTGATCTCTTGTGTGGAGCGAGAGCATCCTCTCTTTCTCACAAGCTCTCCCAGCTTCAGTCTCCCCCTCCCTGTGACAACTGATGGGTCCAGATTCATGCATTATTGACTGATTTTCTTTCTGCTCTCCCCTCCTGCCACTGTTTCCCAGCCACTCAGACCCTTAATGTGTTCGGCATATGGAAGCATTTAGCTTCAGCTAAAATCAATCCATGCCAAAGCGTAATGAGCATTAATGACACCCACGTGGCTTCTGCCTTTTGACTGCTCTGAGCACAGTTGCAGTGAACATGCTGTACTAGCAAGTCTTTCAGACCCTGCTCAAATTCCTTGGGTCCATATCCAGCTTGCAAGATCATGCTAGAATTTTATCCTTAATTTCTGAAGAGCTCCCGTGCCGTAGCTGTAGGTGTCACGGTGCCTGTTCAGCTTGACATTCTTCGTAGTAAAGTGGCTTTGTTTGTTTGTTTGTTTGTTTGTTTGTTTGTGAGGCAAGGTCTATGTGACCCAGGGTGGCTTTGAGTTTGCAGCCCTGCAGCCTAGGATCACAGGTGTGCCTCCCTCTCTCTGCCCTGCTGAAGTAGTTTCTGTGTTTCTAGTTGGAGCAGGCCACCAAGAGAAACTCTTCAGGCTGCGGCAGGCAGAAGGGAGGCAGCAGTTGGTCTGGGGCTCACAGTGACGTGCAGACGGACCCCTTGTCCTGGGAGTCAGTCCCTTGAGATGCTCTGGCTCCCATACAAGTCCATGAGCAGAGCACGTCCTTCGTGCTCAGAGCAGGGAGTACTCCAGGCTTCAATCGGCCTGAGACTCCACCTGGCTCTTCCTCCCTCCCACTCTAAACCCCTCTGAAGAACTGACAGTGAATGACAGACAGAGGGCTCTGCGGGAGAGGAGCAGAAGCCAGGGGGCCAGGCAGCCTGAGGCAGTGTTGGCAAGATGAGATGCCTCCATATTTGGACCTCACCTGTGATGTGACGGTCAGGTTGCCTCGTAAAGAAAGGGAGAGGCATTGCTGCTTTGCTCATGGCTGACAACATGCCCAACATGAAGCAGAGTGAGGGAAGAGAGTTTATTTTGCCTTCATTTTGGAGCATCCGGTCCACATGGTGGGAAGGCTTATGGCTGGCTGTGGACAGGGGCTTGATCATGTCCTGGTTGAGCAGAAAGCAGAGAGCAGGAAGTTCTATCAACTTCTCCCCTCCCTCCTTTTCATTTAATTCAAGAAGTCCATCCAAGATGGTACCACCATATCTAGGGTACATCTCCCTTCCTTAGTTAAGCCCCTGGAGAAACCCTCACAGACATCCAGGGGGCTTTCTCCTAGGTGACTCCAAAGCCAGTCAAGCATCTGTGAAGATGAACAATCAGAGGACGGGCAGTGAGGAAGAAGAGGTGAGAAGAGGGAGGATGAAGGCATTGGCGGTGGAGGGGAAAGATGAAGGCTTTGGTGGTGGAGGGGGAGGATGAAGGCATTGGCAGTGGGGGGAGATGAAGGCATTGGCAATGGGAGGAGGATGAAGGCATTGGCGGTAGGGGGAGGAGGATGAAGGCATTGGCAATGGGAGGAGGATGAAGGCATTGGCGGTGGGGGAAGGAGGATGGGGGCATTGGCAGTGGGAGGAGGATGAAGACATTAGCGTGGGGAGGATGAGGGCATTGGGGGGGGGTAAAGGCATTGGCCATGGGGGGAATACTCACAAAAGTTCTTCTCTGAAGAGGAACCAGAAACCAGCCAAGGACACGCAGAAAGACTGGAAAGATAGACAGACAGAAAAATGCTTTTGGGATTTAATGTGGCAGAAAGCATAGGCCAAGAAAGACAACAAGAGAAGGAAGCTTTAGTTACAAGATGACTTTGGGGGCTCAGTTCTACCCCAATTTATTAAGCTCTTGCTACAGACTTGTTGTGGAATATTAATTTAAGATGTGTTACAGTCATTTATGCTGCAGAATATTTGCTTAATGATACAAAGACATGCTCCATTTGTTTGATTAAATAAAATTAACCAGGGGTCAGGAGGCTGAGTCAGCAACTAGCAGGCAGAACTGGTCGGGAGGAACCATGTATAGGTAGGGCTCTCTCTTTTTTTTCTGTAAGGTTCTTAAATGGGGGGTTGAACAGAAGGATGGGCAGTTTTGGGGGGAGTAGAGCTAGGGGAGAGGGTTAGCTATTCAGCCTCTCTGAGCAAGCAGAATTTCACCTCAACCTTTGAGTCCTGAGTTCTCTAGAGGGATAAAGATCTAGATAAAGTTCCCTTTAGTGGCTATGATAGAGCCGGTGCCTGAGGGAACAGAATTCCTGCCTGGGACAGCAGTGTGGCCAGACCGCTTCTGGTACCTACAGAGTTAGTTGTCCCTGCTGATTAGGACAACAGTTGCTTAAGGGGCAGCTACTGAACTAATGAAAAACAGCACAGCCTGGACTTTATACGGAGCCCAGAGAGAACTACGGAAGCTGTGTCCTAGAAGAGCTAAGATGCACAACAAATACTGAGGATTTCTAGTGCCAGCCACCAGATAGTGGATCAGCTGGACATATATGGCCAACAAATAAAGCTTCCAGTTTCAGAAATCGGTTACATCTAGTCAAGTTGTTGGCCAAAGGGGTCCCATGGAAACACCCAAATAGTCCAGGCTATTGCCAAGGCTGTGGTTGCTCTCCACAAATTGATGGTAAGTCCCTATTACTGAAGACACCTACATAACTCACTGAACATGGAGAAGTCAAGTGGGTACCTAGAGAAAGCCTTCATCCCTAGTATTCATGGTACTGGAAGGTACCAGAGGAGAAAAGTAAACCCCAACTCACCAACTCTTCTATCGACAATGGTGACCTACCTGCAATATATGTTTACACAACATTGGCACAGAAGTTCTGGGAGTAACCAACCATTATCTGTTCAAACTTAAGGTCTACTCCATGAGATGGAATCTATGCCCCAAAAACCTGAAACTAGATCAGCCATGGAGCTAAAGGAAAACCAAATACTGCCATTCTACAAAAGGCACATAGCAATAACATGGCTCCTAATGACATTCTACCATACCTGTAAGTATCCAGCTCAGCCATCATCAGAGAAGCTGCCTCCTGCAGCAAATGGGGCCAAATACAGAGAGCCAACCTGGACACTGTGCAGAGAGAGACCTTGGAACACTCAGCCCTAAACTGAATGCCTCCATCAAATCCATCCTCTCAGGGCTCAGGGAACCCTGCAGAAGAAGAGGTAGAAAGACTGTAAGAGCCAGAGAAGATGGAGGGTGCCAAGAAAACAAGGCCTTCTAGGTACAACACATGAGCTCACCAAAACTGGCAGCGTGCACAGGGCCTGCGCAGCCCTACACCAGATGGGCTCCTAGCTCTGCATGGGGAAGTGGGCACAAGCCCTCATCTCCAACCCAGAAGCTATCTCCAACTGATAACGACTAACAAAGGAAAAACCAGTTTTCTCCAAGAAGTCTGGCTAGATATGCAAACCACATGTAAGGGCAGGCCCCCTGCCCAGCAGTTGATTGGGCAACACCAAACAAACTCGAAAGTGTTTTTAGAAATTTTTGTCTCACAATGGTTAGGCTGGGCTTATCTTTTCTATTTAAACCTCACCGGTCTTTTGCTTTAATATTATGGTTTCCAGTTTTGTGTTTTTACTGGATTTCTGTGTGTGCAAACGTGTGTCTCTATGTGTCTCTTGTGCTTTTTCTTCTGTGTGTTGTTTTGTTTTATTTTATTCTGTTTCATTATAATTATCTTTTAGATGCCTGTTTGCTTCTATTTGTGCTCTTCAGGGAAGAGCGGGAACACGGCCCCCACTACCACAAATTATGCAGTTGAATTTTCCAAACTTGGGGAAATCACAGGGGTCAGCACATCCGGAGGGCAAGGGATAAACCTGGGAAAACCACCTTCATGATCACCGTGTCTCCCCTGCTAGGGAAGTTTGCCTGTTTGCTTTCCAGTGAAAGGGAGGAAGAAAGCTTGTGGGTGTGGGTAGGTGAGGGGCAGGGAGGGTCTGGAAATAGTTAGGGGAGGGGAACCATAACTAGAATATATTGTATGAAAAAATCTATTTTCAATTTTAAAAATATGTGCCCATATATGCATACATATATATAAATATTCCTCTACACCAAGCACACACAACCCTTTTCTCGCTGCCCCAAGTAGAACCTGCTCTTGGTAGCCTTGGAGCGCCACCTGGTGGGATACTGAGGTATTAAATTCTTATGGTGTCTGGGAGCTGTACTATCTGTAAATTAAGAAAAAAATGTAGTACTTCAGCAAATGTTGGCTGGCAAATACATTGCGATGGATGTCATGACCACAGACATGTGTCCCCCATCCCCAAACCACCAACTCTATAGCAATGTCCCTAAGGAGAGCAATTTACATGAGATAGATACAGAATTCAAAAAAATGATTATAATCGTGGTCAGCGTGTTCAAAGAATATAAAGGAGGGGAAAGTGAAAACCCAGATGCACTTACAGACGACCTGCTGACTTCCCTGAGGGATGCAAAAGGGATAATGTGGCTCAAAATCATCAGCGGAAGCAGATAACATGGCTACATTCACCCTAAGTTTCCAGGAACGAGCAGTAGCCGCCGAAGTCATTTCCCTGGGGAGCACTTCCTTTTCTCTACAGTGCCTTACAGTCAGACATTACTGCAGAAAATTGTATTTGAGCTGATCCCTGACTAACCCTTCTGCCTCTGTGACAGCAGAACATGAATTTCACGGTATGTATTACTCATCAACCCATCCATCCATCCATCCATCCATCCATCCATCCATCATCCATCCATCCATCCATCATCCATCCATCCATCCATCATCCATCCATCCATCCATCCATCATCATCAATAACCCGTCCACCATCCATTCAGTTCATCTTCACTGAGTCACTGACGTCTGAAGGAGATGCAGTATTTATCTCCTTATGGACACAGCTTAGTCTTACAAGCAGCATGCTTGACTATCACTGCCTAACCATGCTGTGAGCTTTTTGAAGACAGATGGTTCCAGGCAAGGTTCAGACACCAGCAAAGAGAACGCGAAGGACTGAATGACATCACCGTCACAGGCTGCTTCCCTCTGACTGTAATAGGGTGGTACTGCTAGAGAAGGGGGCCGGGGAAGACTGGGACCGATTGCTTCAAACAAATGAGCCCAGATCAGTCAGCAGCCTTGAGACCTCCTTGGCCTGGCTCAGACTCTGGATTAGTCTGTCATGAAGTATTTATCTGAGCACAGCCTGGCATCCACCCACCAACATGGCAGCTACCCAGTTCCCTTTCATTCCAGAGGCCATTAAGGCTGGCTGGAGCCTCTCCTATTAACGAAAGATGCCCTCAGTGTCAGCTCACCCGGAGCACAGACAGCGCTGCTGTCACAAGGGTCTTCCTCTGGTCCTGGCCACTCTGTGGTTGCCTAGCACATGGACCGTGGCTTCTTCCCTCTCCTTGGCTCTCTCTTGTCTTCATCTCATCTCTGTCACTATCCTTTCTGTGCTGTCCCTGACCCTCCCTCCACCCCTCTTCTTGCTCTGTCTTTATTTCTTTCCCCTCTCCCTTCTCACTGACCCCCTCCTTTTTCATCCTGGACCAACTTCCATTTCTTTAATATCTTTATGCGTCTCTCATCTTTGTCTCCCTTTTTCCTCTTATCATTTTTGTGCATTTCCTCCTTTAACAGCTACTAAAGGTCATTGTGAAAGTCTACTTCAATTTCCTGGATCATTTTCCTGTTGTGGGACACTCACATTTCTTGTCTTTAAATACATATGTTTATATATAATTTAAGTGTATCGTGTGCCTGTTGAGTTTATGCATGCATGCACATGCATGCACACATGCAGCGCCCGCAGAGGCCAAATGATGACATCCCTCTCCCTTTAACTGGAGTTACAGGAAGTTATATGAGTTACCCAGTGTTGGTACTGGGAACTGAACTCAGGTCCTCTGTAACTGCTAAGCCATCTCTCCAGGCCCAGTCTTTTCTCTATGCATGGCAATAATATACTAACAAGATTGCAACTATAATTCAGATAGTAGGCTGTAAATACAGTTCACAGCAATAGCTGTACGAATATTTCAAAGGGACTTTTCATTTTCAGTAGGGTGTTTTAAGGTCAAAAACAAACAAACAAAAAAAAAACAAACAAGACACCAGCTAGCCCACCCGTGAGGTTTGGCACCTTCTCCAACACTGATTCTTTGACATTCAGCTTTGGTTGGTTATGGGCTGCTTTCAGACACTGGGTGGCCTTAGGAAGCGTATAGAAGACTCCTTCTGGGAGCACAAACAAGGATCACAATCAGCCAATTGGAAAGTGTCTATTAAGTTTATTTCCTTGACAAATATATGCTGCCAAATATTTATAATAATGTCCTAAACCAAGACACTGAGGCTCCAAGATAAGAACGAGACCATCTGACCCCATGGACTTTTGCCTGTTGCAACTCTGTACACATGGGTTCCAGGCTGGAGATGACTTGTGGGATATTTGACACCATGCTTTGTGATTTTGTGCCTCAAAAAGGTAAGAAGTAAATATTTATACAAAGATAGCAAGTAGTGCTACATGAACTTTTCCTAGGAAGACATGAGCAAGCATCTACTCATCCCAGACAGAACCCAGGAGCAGGCCAAAGTAGCTGTTCCGCCACAGTCTGATTTGCCCAAGGCGTTTATCTGACTTCTTTCCAGAGCGTGAATGAGGGGTTACTTATAGGAGCATGGAGGATGCCAAAGCAGCCACATCGCCAAAAATTCTCACTTCAGCACGAATGTATTAGTTAGAGAGCTCTAGAGTAACAGAACTTAGAGAATGAAGAGAGAGAGACAGAGAGAGAGAGAGAGAGAGAGAGAGAGAGAGAGAGAGAGAGAGAGAGAGAGAGATTGCAATAGATATCAATCACACACACATACACATATAGGATTTATTATATATAACTTCTGGACTACTGAAGAAGTGGGCTCTAATGCCAGTGAAGGAATAGACTTGCTGGTGAGATGAGAGAGCAATCAGGCAAAGAGTAAAAGCTTCCTTCTTCCATGTCCTTACAGAGGCTTCCAGCAGAAGGTGCGACCCAGAGTAGAGGTGGGTTTACACAGCGCAAATGGCCTAGATTAGAGGTGTAGCTTCCCCCCCTTAAAGATCCAGCTTGGAAGTGGATCTTTCCACTTCAAAGTAGAACAATCCCTCACAGGTGTGCCCTCCATTTTTGAGTTTTAGTTCATTCTAGATGCAGTCAAGCAGACAGGCAAGAATGGCCATCACAATGAACGATGAAATCCCCATAGGGGCATAGATGGAGCCCCCTTTCTGTGATCTTTCCATACATTACATACCATAGCCACCACCTGTCACCATGGCAGCTGGCAGGGAGGTTTGGGAGTGACTGGCAGAGATCTCAAGCAAGAGTCAAATAACCTTCCCCACCCTGTTTTCCTTAAGGAATGTCAACAGACTCCATCTAGGGTTGTGAGTATCACAGTCACTTGAGTGAAAAAACAAATGGAACCTACAATAGCAGTATCTCCTCCTGGAGTCGACGTCATGTGTTGTCACAGGCAGGTAACCTTGGGCGGCGCTGGCGTTCCGCTGTTAGTGACTGACTTACATCTCACGACAGCCTTGAGGACTGATAACACTCAGTCCAAAGAGTGAGTGGCCCCAGCTTACAAAGGTAGAAACATTTGCTCAAACTCACAAAGCCGTTTCTAACTCAGGACTGCTCCAAACACAGCCCCGTGTGGACACTCCGTAGACACCTGCAGGCTACTCCAGGACTAAGGCTTACAGTCATCAGGTATCCCTTCTGGGTGCACGGACTGAAAACAGTTTATGGTTTAGGCACTTGGGACCATCAGAGCTCAAGGGAGAAACACACAAAACCTCATGGTTCTCCCTCAGCTGGGGTGACACGGACAGGGCAAACTCGCTCATCTTAAACTTAACTTAAGCTCATCTTAACTCTCTGTGGTGGTTTGAATAAGAATGACCTTCATAGACTGCGGTTTGAATGCTTGGCCCCTAGGGAGTGGCACAATTTGGGGGTGTGACCTTTGTTGAAGTGGGTGTGGCCTTGGAGGAAGTGTCATTTGGAGTGGGCTCTGAGGTTTCAAAGGCTCAAGCCAAGCCCAGTATCTCTCTCTTCCTGTTGCTTGCTGATCCAGATATAGAATTCTCAGCTCCTTCTCCAGCACCATGTCTGCCTGCACGCTGCCATGCTTCCCGCCATGATGATAATGGACTAAACTTCTGAATCTGTAAGCCAGCCCCAATTAAATGTTTTCCTTTATAAGAATTGCCATGGTCCTCATGTCTCTTCACAGCAATAGAACAGTGACTAAGACACTCTACAGTCTCAGATGGCACACAGACGCCCAGGTTAAAGGAACCAGCCCTAATAAAGGTTTGTATAGGTATTCTAAGTTCTAGCATTGACCACATTAGCCTCCTAATTCAGCCACCCACCTGTCATCATAACATTGCATCATACACCAAGAAACAAGCCCTGGGGCACAGTGGGGCACAGTTACTTTAACCTCAGCACTCGGTAGGCAGAGGCAGGCAGATTTCCAGCCTGGTCTACACAATGAATTCCAGGACAGCAAGACTATGGAGTGATACCCAGTCTCAAAAAACAAAGCAAAACTAAACCAAACAAAACAAAGTGAGTATATCCAGAAAACCAGAGAAACAAAAGAAGCATCTGCAAGCCTCTACACATGATGATAAGTTTGCAGAATATCCAGATATAAGGTCACACAAGCTCACATGGTTTTTTTGGAACGACAAAAGAACTTATTCACAATATGGTCTGTGCTCAGAAATGAGGCTGTCACAAAGAGGAAGGTGGGAGGAACAACACACTTTATTCTGGTGAAGGTGGAAAAGGCCTCTACGGCTTCAAGAAACGTTAGCCAGCCAAGATGAGTAACAGGAAGTAAATCCGTGCCTATCTGATACACCTGGGAGGGGCATGGAAGCCTAATCCAAGAAGAAGTTCATGTTTATGAAGAAACTAGGGTCACAAGACTCTTGTCTTAGTTTCTTGGAGTTTTCCATTTTTGAGCCATGTTCACACAGTGCCAAGGAGACCTTTCCTTCCTTAGGTTACTTTGGCAGGTGTTTTGACTCAGGGACAAGGCAAGTAACTAGTGCAACCCCACTCCCATGACGTCTGCCTGGAATGGGGTGTGGCCTGCTGTGCATTTTTTAACCCCTTGACAAATGCAGTCTAAACCCATCGGGGTCCACATCTCTCCTTCGTGACCAGAGAGACAGGGGCGGCAGTCAGAGGAGGAATCCCGAGCATCATTGAACCGTCTACTTCCTACCAACTTTCTAATCTCGAGTCTTCCTTCTGTGGCCTTCTCGGGCTTCAGCCTTCCTGGTTCATACAGTCATTTGACAAACAGTCATTAAGTGTTTACCACATGTCAGATACCAAGTCAATGGCAGCGAGCCAAACAAAGTTCTTCCTTTGTCCTTGGTCTTCACAGGAAGGGACTATGGGCCTAGGGGCCTTTGTAATCTGGGTCATTGACTCTCCATCAGTGTGTGAGTCCCTTGGGACTAAGATCCATGAGTTGTTCATCTTTGGAGTGCCCATAGTGCCAGACACAGGGCCTTCTGGGTAAATGTTTAATGAACTAACAAATAAATACAAAGGATATGGAAGACAGAAACATTTAGAAAACCCCTTGTTTCAGTCAGGAGACTCTTAAAAATTGTTTCTAACATTTTAAGGTGTTTTATTTCCTGTGCAAAAGCAACAACAAAAAGCTCCACCAGGCAAAACCGAGTGTCAAACCCAGAGCACACGCTGCAGCTGCGTCTCCCAGGCTCCCAGTCCAGTTTGTTTCATCTTAGCTTCTGCTTTTCACTTGTAAGGCATTTTATTTAGCTATTATTTTTTTGTTTGGTTTGCTTCAATCTGTTTTTTTTTTTTTTTAAACAGGGTTTCTTTGTGTAGCCCTGGCTGTGCTAAAACTTGCCCTGTAGACCAGGCTGGACAGGAACTCAGAGATCCTCCTGCCTCTGCCTCCCGAGTGCTGGGATTAAAAGCATGCACCACCATGATTTCGTTATTGTTTTTGAAAGAGGATCTTGCTATGTAGGATGGCTGGCCTTAAATTTGCAATCTTTTTGCCTCAGCTTCTTGAGTGCTGAGATTATAAGTGTGAGTCACCTTCCCTGACTTGGCTTCTTTTCTGGTTCAGGACTTGTTGAATTAGGGGCGGTGGGGCT